TGCCAGAAAAAGAAATGCTTTTTGCATCTCAATAGATACTTTGAAAATATCTTCCCTATTTGTTCTAAATCAAGCCCATATTGAGACTAAGGGTAGATTTTCATGAGGAATTAGGGCAGCATTGCTCTTTATCTCTAAGTAAACTGGAGAAGGAAGAATCCCAACATTTGTGCAAGTTCTAGATGATTTATAATGCCTGTCTCTATGCAGATCATTTTACAAGAGAAGGAAGGAGAAGCCTCCACAGGGCTGCTTCTGTCTCCCATGAGACAGAGAAGCTGTCAAGAGACTCGGGAGATATTAAAATGAGTCCCCTCACAACTGTTAGAGTCACACCCGCCACCTGCTAACTGCCCGCTCTGTGTGGCCATTATCTTTATGCCCTGTAATAATCCTGCACAGAGTGGTTGTTTAACCCTCTTTTTAAGATGAAAAGTAAGTTTTTCTTGGTGTTCAATAGCGACTAAGAAGCACAGCTATAGAGTACCTTGTAAAGAACCTCTTGGAGTGCCTGGGTGGCTCAGTCGGTTGGGCGACCGACTTCGGCTCAGGTCATGAGTTTGAGCCCCGCATCAGGCTCTGTGCTGACAGCTAGCTCAGAGCCTGGAGACTTTCGGATTCTGTGTCTCCCTCTCTCTGACCCTCCCCTGCTCATGCTGTCTCTCTCTCTGTCTCAGAAGTAAATAAAACATTAAAAAATTAAAAAAAGAAAAAGAACCTCTTTCTCATTGGGTGAGGGCTGTTCATACTGGTTCAGTGGCGCCCCTGTTCACATCTCCTGATGTACAAGGGACCTTTGAACATCAGAACATCACTGCTGAAGCCAAGGCCAGTGATGAGCGTCACCTGTACGCCTCCTGTGTGGGGTTTTGCCTCTCTGAGGTTTTTTTTTTTTTAAATATTTTTATTTATTTCTAGGAGAGAGAGAGACAGCGTGAGCAGGGAAGGGTCAGAGAGAGAGGGAGTCACAGACTGAAACAGGCTCCAGGCTCTGAGCTGGCAGTCAGCACAGAGCCCGACGCGGGGCACGAACCCACGAACCGCGAGATCATGACCTGAGCGAAAGTCGGACGCTTAACCGACTAAGCCACCCAGGCGCCCCATTGCCTCTCTGAGTATTAATCCCAGTTAAACATCTCCCCTTTGAGGGTCCGTGGTTAATCAGCATTAGAACAAGGGGAGTTGGGGTGTGTAGGATATCAGGGATGGATTTAGAATGTAGAGAATTTCTGGAAAGAATCCAGGACAATGCTGCAAATCGCAGGAGAAAGTTAAGCAGATCCAGATGTCAGCAGCCAGCAGGCCGAATGTGCCTGGGGAAGGGAGTGCACTGGTTACACTAAACGTAAAAAGTTAATGTTGTAACTTTTGCAATATTGCATTTTCTCTGACAAAAGAAAACAAAATAGTTGTGCCAGGGAAGTTTGAGAGCTATGTTTGGATAAAAGCGTTAAGAATTTGCAATGTGTAAGACTTTTTTTCCTTTAAAACTCTAAAGTACAAGGAACAAGTTATACTTTTATGTCTTGATCTTTTAAGTATTTGGAAGAGCGAGAAGAGCCTCGGCAGGTTTTGGGTCCTGGAACTGTTTATTGCATATGTGGACACGGGGGGTGGGGTGTCTGTGTGGAGCACAGCATCCACAGTAATACTAAGACTTTTGGGAGAGGGGATCATGTCCCTTTTGAAACTTGGGAAGTTGGGGGATTATGACACTTTCACAAGGAAAATGTACATTTGCCCATGCGCGATACGGATCTCGTGTGATTGATTTCATAAAATTGGGATTGACCACTGGACATTTATCTGGAGACTAAACATCGTTTAGTAGAAAGTAACACCTAAAAGCTATAATCATTGTCTACCAAAGCAGGTTTCTATATATGAAATGCTTTCAAGTCTTAGTTTTTTTTTTTTCTTTTAACTTTTTAAAGTTTATTTATTTTGAGAGAGAGCGTGAGTGGGGAAGGGTCAGAGAGACAGAGAGAGAGAGAATCAGAAGCAGGCCCTGACTGTCAGCTTGGAGCCTGGTGTGGGGACTGATCTCATGAACCATGAGATCATGACCTGAGCCTAAATCTAGAGTCTGCCACTTAACCAACTGAGCCACTCCGGCACACCCAAGTTTTCATTCCTTGAGGCATCATTACAAAGATACTTTTCATATATCCATACATTTGTTTGACTTCATTAGTATTCCATGGTCCATAGGTGTTTTTGGTTTAACCTTGAAAGAGCTTATAATGACATTTTATAGAATATTAAGAAATACATAATTATTATAGCTCCGTTATGTTTTCCCATATTGTAGTAAAGAGAATGGCTTATGCTTTTAAAAATGAAAATTATAGGGGCGCCTGGGTGGCTTAGTCGGTTGAGCGTCCGACTTTCGCTTAGGTCATGATCTCGCGGTTCGTGGGTTCGAGCCCCGCGTCGGGCTCTGTGCTGACTGCCAGCTCGGAGCCTGGAGCCTGTTTCAGTCTGTGACTCCCTCTCTCTCTGACCCTCCCCTGTTCACGCTGTCTCTCTCTCTCTCCTAGAAATAAATAAAACATTTAAAAAAAAAATTAAAAAAAAATAAAAATGAAAATTATAGTTACGGGTGTTTGTTCCAGAAAATGAGTACTACTGGATGTCACATCTCTTCTCCATTTCACTGTCTGCACTTTTCAAGGGTATTGTTTCATCTGTCTTAGAGAAAGAGAAGACAGACACAAAGCTTACCCGAAGTCTGTGCTGGTAGGACAGCTTCCAGAAGCTAAACTGGTAATTTCTTTTGTGTCCAGCCTTTATATACTGTGTCGGTTCACCCTAGGATTTTCCTTCTAGGGCATATTCAGAAAATTAAGTGCATGAAAGCACCTGGTACATCATTTTTTTAAAGTTTATTTATTTTGAGAGGCGGGGGGTGGGGGGGGGGAGAGAAAGGGTGAGAGAGAGAATCCCAAGCAGGATCCACCCTGTCAGTGCAGAGCCAGACTCCTGGCCCAAACCCATGAATCATGAGATCATGACCTGCGCCTCAATCAAGAGTTAGATGCTTAACTGCCTGAACCACCCAGGCGTCCCATGTACATCATTTTTATTTTTATTTTCTTAATATTTTTATTTTTTAAATTTATTTATTTTGAGAGAGAGCGAGCGCACAGGGGAGAGGCAGCGAGGGATGGAAAGAGACAATCCCAAGCAGATCCCATGCTGTTAACTCAGAGCCCAGTGCAGGGGTGAGTCTCACAAATCGTGAGATCGTGACCTGAGCCAAAATGAACATCAAGAGCCAGATGTTTAACCGACTGAGCCACTCAGGTGCCCCATCATTTTTGTCTTATTTTTTTTTCCATCCCCCACCCCTCACCTCTGGCCCCAGAGACCCCGGCCTCCATTATTTTTAAACTCATCTTTTACAGGGCACCTGGGCTGGCTCTGTCAGAGGAGCATGTGACTCTTAATCCTGCTTCATAAATTCAAGCCCCAAGTTAGGTTTTGGGGATTTCTAAAAAAAAAAAAAAAAAAATTTTTTTTTTTTAAAAACAAGTCATCCTGGGGCACCTGCGTGGCTCAGTCCATTAAGCGTCCCATTTCAGCTCAGGTCATGATCTCACAGTTTATAAGTTCGAGCTCTGCCTTGGACTCTGTGCTGACAGCTCAGAGCCTGGAGCCTGCTTCGGATTCTGTGTCCCCCTCCTTCTCTGCCCCTCCGCCTTTCACACTCTATCTCTCTCCTTAAAAAATAAACATTCAAAGATGAATAAAATGTTTAAGAAAATTTTTTTTAAAAGGGGCATCTGGGTGGCTCAGTCATTTGGGCGTCCGACTTTGTCTTAGGTCACGATCTCACAGTCCATGGGTTTGAGCCCCATACCAGGTTGTGAGCTGACAGCTCAGAGTCTGGAGCCTGCTTTGGATTCTGTGTCTCCCTCTCTCTCTGCCCCTCCCCTGCTCATGCTCTGTCTCTGTCTCAAAAATGAATAAAATGTTTAAAAATTTTTAAAAAACATTAAAAAATTTTTTTAATCATCCTTTGCACTTCTGCTGTAACGTTTTCAACATATGCACAGTCTCACTCGGGCAGATGATTAGAGTCTGTCTCCTGCCAGACAAAGGGAATAGAAATTGTATGGTTTCTGTGGTAATGCTTATTTGAGAAGCAAGGCTTCTATGATGATGTTCCCACTGATGGTCGATGTGGGAAACATGTCAACAGAAACCGTGTACCAGGTAGGGGCGCCTGGGTGGCTTAGTCGGTTAAGCGTCCGACTTTCGCTTGGGTCGTGATCTCGCGGTTTGTGGGTTCGGGCCCCGCGTCGGGCTCTGTGCTGACTGTCAGCTCAGAGCCTGGAGCTTGTTTCAGTCTGTGACTCCGTCTCTCTCTGACCCTCCCCTGCTCACGCTGTCTCTCTCTCTCTCCTAGAAATAAAAACATTAAAAAAAAAAAATTAAAAAAAAAAAAAGAAACTGTGTACCAGGTAAGATGGTGTGAAGCATGGTTCTCGTGTGTGTGTGTGTGTGTGTGTGTGTGTGTGTGTGTGGACCGTGGCAAGCATGGTAGTCTTTCCTTGCCCTTCTGAGTGGCTGTGAGGTGGGGAGGGAACCAGCCTGTGCCAACTCTCCCTCCTGGAGGCTTTTCCAGTCGACACATTGACCAGCTTCCTCTCCAAGCCTTTTTGTGGCCTTTGATGCCAGGTAAGGCTGCGGGCGGGGTTTCTAGCCCAGTCCCCTCAGCAGCAGACAAGTGAGCACTGTGTTAGGACTTTATGGGCATTTGAGAAACTCGCTGGATTAATAGCAGTTGTTTTCAAAGTGGATCATTTGGATAATTCATCCCCCCCCCCCCCATGAGTGACACATGTCGTATCAGAAGGCCTTCTCGCAAACTAGTTCCTGGGGAAGGACTTTTGGGTACCAAGAATGTGTATCCTCCAAGACCACAAACCTAAAGCAGAGAATACTGTACGGAGCTGATGGGTTGAAAGTTTACAGCAGAGGATGTTTTGAGGTCATCTAAAAGTCAGTTTATTAATGGAGTGCGTCCGGGTGTGGTTTTGAATGGATTCTACTGGGCCGAGTCTGGGTTGGTGCACACTGGCCTGTCTTTCCTAGATTATTATCCCCGCCTTCTGTCTCTGACCAGCTGCCTTCACTCCCAGACGCCAAACCTGCTGGTTCGGTCCCCTCCTCCAGGCCAGCAGGCTTGCTCACCATGCTGTGATCTTTAACTCATTCAGAACCAGGCTGCAGACAGCACACGAGGACACCTGTCCCGAAAGGTGTAAGGATGGTCTTGTCGGGAGAGCTCCCCCTTGAGGCAGTGCCCGGGAAGTGTGGGGTGATTTCCTTGCACTGCGTCCAGCCTGGCTGGGAAAGCAGGGGAAGGAGTTCAACACCGAAAGAAGGGCCGTGGCCCCGTTCGACTTGCACTTGGTCCAAAATGGGGTAAAGGATGGAGATCCTCACATGGGGCAAATAAAAAGAGAGGGAGGGAGCCAACTCAAGATGTTTGTGCCCCGTTTTCCCCCTCGGTAGGCATATTGGGAGTCAAAGAGGTACCATAGGTGTAACATGACATTCAACTACACAGAATTTGAAAAGGCACCTAAGCCTTATGTACGGTGGGTTTTTGAACCTTCTGGTCTAGGAAATTTGCAAGGCTAACGGTTTGGGAGAGTCAAAAGCTGTTCAATACTGCCCTCTTCTGTTCAGACCTGGTCAGGGGTTTGAACAGTGATTTGTACACGTGAATAGTCGTTGCATAGCGCGATGGTGAAAAATTGGACCAACGAATTGTCTAACAACAGGGGGCAGTAAAAAAAAGATGCAGCCTTTATATCACAGTTTTGAAGACTGTTATTAAATAACTTACCCAGAAAAAGCTGTCACAGTCATTAGTAGTGATCATCTCTGAACATTGTCTTTATGAAGGTCATTGTCCAATTTTTCAAATTTCAAACTCTCCTGCAATTTATGTAGACCATTTTTGGAATTGGTAAAAAAAAAAAATAAATAATAATAATAATGTTAAGTAAGTAGTTCTGTATGAAGACAATGAGAAAAAATCCATTAGAATTTTGGTTTTATTATTTTATAGATAATAATCTATACTTCCGCCTGATACTTCCTTCTAACAAGCCTTAGCAGGAAGTACTAAAGGTGACCTGTGTTTCAGGTAAGGACAGTAAGAAGAGAAACTTCAGGAAATTTGCCCAAGGGCCCAGTACTAGATGTGGTGCAGCTGAAATTTAAACACAGTCTGTCTCCAGAACTTCTTTTATCTTCCCCTCTCCCCCAATTCTCTCTCTTTTGGCGGGGGGATTGGGAGAGAGTTAGTTTATTTAATACATTGATAAAACTTATATTATGGTATATAATGTGAGGAAAAGATCCAATGTCCTAGAAAACCACCACTCCATTTTTGTTGTTTTCTATATTTATATTAGTTGTCTGTACCTGTTTATTCTTTTGAGGGATTGTTTTTTTAAGTGTAATGAACTACAATGTTATATGAGTTTCAGGTGTGCAGCATAGTGCTCGACAGTGCTCACGGCAATAAGCGTGGTTACTGTCTGTCACCGTATGTCCCCCGTGATGCCCTTTTAGTCTCCTTGATTCTTTTATAACTGGAATTTTGTACCTTTTAGTCACCTTTATTGAGTCCATCCCTGAGTGATTTTTTTAAAACAATAACTTGAAAGTTAACAGACAGTTGCAAAAATTTAAAAAAGCAAGCACAGGAAGCATCCATATACCCTTTATCTAGATTCATCCATTGTTAGCATTTTACCGTTTCTCCTCTCTGTGTTAAGAAGAAACCAAAAACCAGCATACAGTTTCCTGCACAAAGACAAGGGATGAAAAATTTTCTGAGTCTCTTGCAGATCAGTTATAGTCACCATTTCCTCTTAAATACTTATGTATTTCCTAAGGATAGAGATATTCCCTTTTATATCCACAATACGGTTGTTAGTATCATAGATTTACATTTTTACAGTAGCATTTCACGTACCATCCTTATTCGGATTCTGTCAGCTAACTTAACAATGTCCTTTTTAGCGTTTCTCCCCGTGCGTTGTAAGATCCATCCTCGGCTCTCATGTGCATATTCTTTAGTTTCTTTTAATCTGGAACATTTCTACAGCGTTTCCCCCGTTAAGACATTAATGTTTGCATATAGCTCCTTGCTTCCCATTTCCACCACCTTTGTTAGCATGTTTTTTCTCCTATTTAACTTCAGGTTGTTTAATTTTAATTTTTTAAAGCTTATTTATGTGAGAGAGAGCGAGTGAGCAGGGGAGGGGTGGAGGGAGAATCCGAAGCAGACTCCCCGGCCATCAGCACAGAGCGCAATAGGAGGCTCGAACCCACAAACGGTAAGATCGTGACCTGAGCGGAAACCAAGAGTTGGATGTTCAACTAACTGAGCCACCCAGGCGCCCCTGTGTATTTATTCTGAAAGACAGAGAGAGGGAAAGTGTGCATGTGTGAGAGTGGGGGAGGAGCAGAGCGGGAGAGAATCCCAAACCAGCTCCACACTGTCCATGCAAAGCGGATGTGGGGCTCGAACTTAACCTTGAGATCATGACCTGAGCTGAAATCAGGGGAGTCCGATACTTAACTAAGTCACTCAGGTGCCCCAGTTGATGTTAAGTTCTTGGCCAATTTCTCCACTTTATAGGGGTTTCCCCACCTTCTTAACTGTTAGGCATGTGAATATCCTGCACACTCTCACATCGCCTGATTCTTGCCTTGTCCAGTTTTTACCCTAATGGTTGCAAAATAGGGTCGAGGGATCTTTTGAATCACTATCTGTGGGTGGGTAGGATATATGTAAATTTTTTTAAATTTTTTAAATTTTTTAATTTTTTCTAGTTTACATCTAAGTTAGTTAACATAGTGCAATGATGATTTCAGGAGTAGATTCTAGTGACTCATCCCCTGTGTATAACACCCAGTGCTCATCCCAGCAAGTGTCTTTCTTAATGCCTCTCACCCATTTAGCCCGTCCCCCCTCCCACAACCCCTCCAGCAGCCTTCAGTTTGTTCTCTGTATTTATGAGTCTCTTATGGTTTGTCCCCCTCCCTGTATTTATATTTTTGCTTTCCCTCCCTTATGTTCATCTGTTTAATATGTTAAATTTCATATATAAGTGAAGTCATGATATTTGTCTTTCTCTGACTTATTTCACTTAGCGTAATACCCTCTAGTTCTATCCACATAGTTGGAAATGGCAAGATTTCATTCTTTCTGATTGCCAAGTAGTACTCCATTGTACATATACACCACATCTTCTTTATCCGTTCATCAGTTGATGGACATTTGGGCTCTTTCCATACTTTGGCTATGGTCAGAAGTGCTGCTATTTATTTCTTTGTTTAGTTAAAAAAATGTTAATTTTGAGAGAGAGAAAGACAAAGCATGAGTGGGGGAGGAGCAGAGAGAGAGGGAGACACAGAATCCGAAGCAGGCTCCAGGCTCTGAGCTGTCAGCACAGAGCCTGACACGGGGCTTGAACCCACAAAGTGCGAGATCATAACCTGAGTCAAAGTCGGACGTTTAACCGACTGAGCCACTCAAGCGCCACCCCCCCCCTTTTTTTTAATAGCATGACTATTACCATGAAAAACTGCTTTTTACACTGCAGTAGAATTTCAGTTGCTGCCTACATCAGACATAATAGCAGTTTTTCCATCCAAGCGTGGGAGTTGACATGTCTAAATACTTTTTCCTGTCATAAGTTGCATTGACAAATTATAAAGTTTTATAATGATTTATGGAAAATAAGAATTTTAGCACTTTGAAGTATATGAAATTAATTTTTCTTTTAAAAAGACAAAGCTTCGGGGCGCCTGGGTGGCTTAGTCGGTTAAGCGTCCGACTTTCGCTTGGGTCATGATCTCGCGGTTCGTGGGTTCGAGCCCCGCGTCGGGCTCTGTGCTGACTGCCAGCTCAGAGCCCGGAGCCTGTTTCAGCCTGTGGCGCCCTCTCTCTCTGACCCTCCCCTGCTCACGCTGTCTCTCTCTCTCCTAGAAATAAATAAAAATATTTAAAAAAAAAATAAGCAAGAGAAAATACATTTGCAGTACTGTGCTGTATGTATTGAAAAAAATCCACGTGTAAGTGGAACTGCATGGTTCAAACCCATGTTGTCGGGGGATTACTTTAGTTTCACTGCTGTAAAAATCTGTGCTCTGCCGATTCATCCTTTAGAAAAAAAGTTTTTTAATGTTTATTTCTTTTTGAGAGACAGAGGGAGACAGAGCACAAGCAGGGCAGGGGCAGACAGAGACAACAGAATCTGATGCGCACTCCAAGCTCTGAGCTGTCAGCACACAGCCCAACGCTGGGCTTGAACCCACGAACTGTGCAATCATGACCTGAGCCAAAGCCGGCCGCTTAACCGACTGAGCGACCCAGACTCCCCACTGCCGACTCATTCTTCACCCACCAACCCTTGGCAACACTGATCTCTTTATGGTCCCTGTGCCCTGTCTCTTTACTGTCTGCCTTTCCCAGAATGTCGTATGGTTGGGATCATACAGTATGTACCCTTTTCAGATTGGCTTCTTTCATTCAGTGATACACATTCAAGGTTCCTCCGTATTTTTCCATGGCTCTGCTGTGGCTCATTTCTTTTTAGCACTGAAGAATATTACATTGTCTGCATGTACCGTAGTTTATTCATCCATTCACATAATGAACATCTTGGTTGCTTCCAAGTATGTGCGGTTATGAAGAACGCTATAAACATAACGATGAACACCCATATGCGGGTTTTTGTGCGGACATGTTTTCAACTCAATTGGGTGAGGTACCAGGGAGCACGATTGCTGTTACATGGGAAGAATATGTGTGGTTTTGTGGGAAACTGCCAAACCGCCCTCCACAGTGTTTGTGCCAGTTTGCATTTCCCACGTAACCGTTTTGAAGTCCGCTTATTCCCCAGTTGGAGGGACAAGGTGAACTCTTCCTCCAAGCCCTACGCCTTCCTGACTCTAAATGATAGCTTTGTAACCGGAACCCGCCTGAGGTTTCCCAGTTCTTCTTCTTTTGTTTGTTTTTGAGAGAGAGAGAGACAGAGCATGAGTGGGGAAAGGGCAGCGAGAGAGGGAGACACAGAATCTGAAGCAGGCTCCAGGCTCTGAGCTGTCAGCACGGAGCCTGACCCCGGGCTCGAACTCAACAAACCGTGAGATCATGACCCGAGCCAGAGCCGGACACTTAACCGACTGAGCCACCCAGGCGCCCCGTCCCCAGTGCTTGTTCTAATACTCAAGAAATTAAAAGTTCTCAAAACCAAACAAACCCATGCATGGGATCCCGCTGTGCCCCGGGCCATCGCTATGTATTGCGATTGTGGAGGCCGCCACCTTACAGCCCAGCTAAGGAGGCGGGTCAGGGATCCAGCAGTGTTTAGGTTTAGCGGTTTGGCAGCCGTTTAGCCACGAGAGTTTTCGGACCCGAGTGTGCTTGAGTTTGAAGAGATTCCCACTGCGGAGAAGCTCAGGGCCCCGGGGGCCCTTTGCAGGCTCGTGAGGCCCAGGCCATGGGGAGACTGGGCCCTCTGTGACGTGCGCGGTGGCCCCCAGGGGGCGCGCTCCTCACCGGCGCCAGTGTCCAGCCCGCGATGGGGCGGGCGGGGGAAGAAGCTTGGGCCTCCCCGGCCCCTGTAGCGCTGCCCCTGCCGGCCGCCGCCCACCATGCCCTGGTGGAGTAACCTTTGCTGTGAGTAGTGCGCCCCCCCGTGGCGGGTCCTCCGCGATGCGGCGGGCGGGTCGGCTTTGAGGGCCACCCACCGGACCTTGCCGTTAGTGCCGGTCACCCCCGGGTGTGGGGGCTTCCATCCGGCCTCCCTTTCGTCGCTCCGACCGAGCCGCCGGCTGGGAGGCACGTGGGAGGTGTTAGGAGGGGACCCGGCGGCCCCGGTACAGCCGACGCCCTGGGCTTCAGGTGACCCGGCGGCCCAGCTCAAAGACGAAGGCCCCCCCCCCCGCCCCCCGCTACCCCTGGGTCTTGTCGCCGCGCTGGGCCGGGTTGGCCGCGGGCCGAGCATCTGCCCAAAGCCTGGTCTCCCAGAGCCGCGACCCCACCGGCCCCAGGTCGCACGCTGCTTCCTCCCAGGAAAGCACAGCCCGAGGGCTCGGGGCGGCAGGCTTAGCCCGAGGTGGAGGCGGGCTGGGGTCCCCTGGGAAGGTGTTTGCACAGGAGGATAGAGAGAACACGCAACAGGCCTCAAAAGATCACTAGGATTGGGCGCGCCTGGGTGGCTCGGTTAGTTGAGGCTTTGGCCCAGGTGGTGATCTCATGGCCCGCGGGATCGAGTCCCCCCATCGGGCTCTATGCTGACAGCTCGGAGCCTGGACCCTGCTTCGGATTCTGTGTCTCCCTCCCCTGCTCACGCTCTGCCTTTCAAAAGTAAATAAATGTTATTATTGTTATTATTTTTTAAATCATTCGGATTTACCAGCGGCCAGAAAGAGAGCTTGGGGGGATGTGGGACAGGACAGAGCGGGCCTTGCTTGTCCGGCCGCATCGTCGAGAATGTGTAGCCGGCTGCGTGCGTAACAGAAGGCTGAAACTTGGGATCCAGGTTCTAGTGCGTTTCCGAGCCTCTGCGTGGGCAGCCACGCCGTCGCCCGTGGTTTGGGGCAGAAAAGGCGCCTGTAACGTGGAAGATGTGATCGGAGTTGGCTCTTCGTTGTTGCAACCTAATGTATCCTTGCTTGCCAGGCTAGGGGGTTTGGAAGATTGTCCTGAAAGTCCTGCTGCCATTAGGGACATGGAGCGGCATCACTTTGTGATTAAAGAGGTATTTTAGGAAGCACAGCCTCCCTGGAAGGTCTGTCCAGGTTCCCCCGGGGGCCGAAGGGAAGTAGAAGCTGGAATGAGGGTTGAGTCTGATGTCTGGCTCTTACACAAAACACAAAGGCACCTCCCCGAGCCGGCAGTGGCCCTGTCTGGAAGGCTGTTGTGACAGCGTTAGCTCCTGGGATTACTTAGGTCAAAACAGACTGCAGACCAGTTAGGATTTAAAAATCTCTTGTGATCCTATAAGCCCTCCTTAAAAAAATGTGTTCAGCCCGCACATCACTCTGTTTAAAGAGAGCATCTCGGTGTTTCCAGGCCTGGCACCTGCTGGAACCTTCAGTGGCTGTTTTGTTCCGCCAGTTGCAGCTGTTCTGTGTTTGTCTCTCTGCTTTTGACGGTACACATTCCCGTCATCGCAGAATTTCAGAAAAAGTGTTTCAAATTGAAACCGATTTGGGAGCGTGGAGGGAAATCAGGAAGGAAAACGATGTATCCAACACCCGTTTTCTCCCACCGTGTAGCCCCACATGTCTGCATTGTCTCATACATTTCGGAGAGGTTTGTTCAGGAGTGTTTTCCTCTCATGCTCTTGGGCAGGAAACTTCATTTCTATTTATGCAAATTCTTAGTGAAATTGTACTAGAATGGAATTTATTGTCGGGGTTTAACTTTCTTTCCTCTGGTGTATTTTCAATGGTATACCTTTTCTTAAAAAAAGGTCACATCTCATTTGTGGCATTAAAATAGGGTGTGTGGAAGGTTTTTTCATGAGTATACTTGTATGATGGAAATTTGGATGTAGTTCATGTCAGGGAAATGGATTTAGTGGAAAGAAATCTTTAAATTTTACTGCAAGCATGTTTCTGATACAAACGTGGAAATTTACAGCATTTTTGTATTTGAAAAGTAATATACATGGTACAAAAAAAAAAAAGGGTGGGGCGCCTGGGTGGCTTAGTCGGTTAAGCGTCCGACTTTCGCTTGGGTCATGATCTCGCGGTTCGTGGGTCATAATCTCGCGGTTCGTGGGTTCGAGCCCCGCGTCGGGCTCTGTGCTGACTGCCAGCTCAGAGCCTGGAGCCTATTTCAGAGTGTGTCTCCCTATCTCTCTGACCCTCCCCTGCTCACACTGTCTCTCTCTCTCTCTCCTAGAAATAAAAAAAAAAATAAATTAATTAAAAAAAAGGAAGCCTGTTCCCAGAAGACAGAGGAGGGCCCATCTCCTGACTTGAAGGAAGTGTCCACAGATACTCTCAGAAATCTAATAACATATCTCGACAGGCTGAATTTTTCTTTCTCTTGGAATGTTTGCCACAATGTGGGCGCTAAGTATTTCGTTATTCTTTACAAAGTTTAAAGTTGGTCAGAAATGCGTATTTCGTAGTGATTTTTTTTTTTTTTAAAGGAAAATCAGGAAGGGCACTTCAGATGAAAATAATGAGACTCTTGGTTTTGCTTCAAACCTCCTTCTCTAAAACATTGAGTTCTCTGGTTTTTTAATTTGTTACTAATTTAATGCTACCTTAGATGCTGATGTCAGTTAGGATCCATGAGAATTGACTGTTTCCCAAAGCTCTTCCAGAAACAGGTAGAGACGGTCACTGTGTTATTGTCAAAGGGCCTGTCCACGCAGTGCCATGTGCTTAGTATTAGTATTAGAATGCTTCCTTAGTTTCTCTTCCTAAAATAAAACCCAACCAGTACTGTGATGGAAATTTATAGACATAGATTATAATATTTCACATCAAGAATAAAACTATTCTCATGGGGAAGTAAGATTCCATAAGCTGGGTGAATTTATGGATTTGGGGAAGCGTGCTGTGTTTGTATTTCCAAATATATCTGTATTTCACATATTTATGGATATGTTCTTTGTATTGTTATTCATACTGTTCATACTCACTGAGCTTCATTTTATGCTGTGAGCATTAAGTATATTATTACAATTTTATTAAGACCTTTTCTGTGTTAGCTTTCATTGACTTTTTTGTTAGAGAAAGCATTACATATTCTTATAGGGAGAATTAGAAAATCGATACAAGCAAAACTAAAATAGATCACATTTCCGTCCCCCAGAGATCATATGTGAGGTACGGGTGGAGGTGGGGGTTAAATGAGATCATACTGTATATACTATTTGGCAACCTGTTTTTCTTCAGCCACATCTCAACTCTTTCATTTCAGTAAAAACCCCATCTCATCTAATCCCAAATCATACTCACATATTCCCAAGAGAAGTCAAAAATACCCTTTTGCGGGGCAACTGGGTGGCTTAGTCGGCTAAGCGTCTTTGTCTCAGGTCATGATCTCACAGTTTGTGGGTTTGAGCCCCACATCGGGCTCTGTGCTGACAGCTAGCTCAGAACCTGGAGCCTGTTTCAGATTCTGTGTCTCCCTCTCTCTCTGACCCTCCCCTGCTCACGCTGTCTCTCTATCAGAAATAAATAAAACATTAAAAAAAAAATACCCTTCCGCTAGTTTGCCCTAACTAATATCCAATTTAGGACCATGCCCAGCTTGTCTCATTGTTTTATTTCTTAAATTTATTAATTTAGCTCAGTGCCTCTCCTTTTATTCCATCACACTGACTTGCTTTTTAAACCTTCATTGATTTTTTATTTTTTTTATTTTTTTTATTTTTTTAAATTTATTTCTAGGAGAGAGAGAGACAGCGTGAACAGGGGAGGGTCAGAGAGAGAGGGAGTCACAGACTGAAACAGGCTCCAGGCTCTGAGCTGGCAGTCAGCACAGAGCCCGACGCGGGGCTCGAACCCACGAACCGCGAGATCATGACCTAAGCGAAAGTCGGACGCTTAACCGACTAAGCCACCCAGGCGCCCCGAACCTTCATTGATTTTTTAAAATTTAAAAACAACTAGAATGCACATCCATATACACTTGACCTAATTCACCAATTATTGATATTTTAGCACATTCTCTCTCCTGCCCCCCACCCCAACCTTCAATCTCTCTCCTTAAACTGTCTGAAAGTTACTTGCAGACAATCTACTTGTGTTTTTGTTTGATTTTTGTCCTTTGTGACATTGACGTATTAGGCCAAACTAGTTGTTTTACAGAATACCCTTCATCAATTTATCTGTTTCCTTACAGATTCCATTAAACATTTTTGGCAGGAACATCGTCGGTGATTTATTGGCCTTCTCACTGCCTCCCATCAGAAAGCGTGCTGACAGTTTTGTTCCATTGTTGGGGATATTAAATTTAAGGCAGTACCTGCCAGATGTCTCCACTGTACAGGAAGTTCTTCCTTGGGGTCTGTGTGCTAATACTCTAAACCTGTAGGTTTCCTGACACCCAAAGATTTCTAGCATGTCTGGATTTTTGGCTGAGTTACCACACAGGTATTGGTAAAGAGCGGTTCTTTACTCTAATGACAAATGGCCAGCTAGGCTTTTCCAAATAAGACAACCATTTCAGCTATAGTGAATCCGACCATTTCCTCGCTTTGTTTTCAAGTCTTTTCTATCACAACTTCTTCCCTACCCGTCTTGTTTGTTTCTGATTTTAATGGCGATGTGACTAGCTCCAAATTTATCAGTCACCCCCACCTTCAGAAGAGTAAAACTTACTGTAACCACACTTGCCAGGAAACAGTGCTTCATATTATTTTATAAGAAATATTATAAGAAATGATTTTTACTTTTCAAAACAACTGGAAACGTCCAGTTCAGCTGACCCTACAGATGAACCAAACTACAACATGGCTTTCTTCTCCTCAAATAACTACAAAAGAAAATCCACTTCTCTTATTTTATATGCGTGTATCCTACGTGATGAATGACATAAATCCATCGTTAAAGACAATAATGCTCCACATCTTCAAGGCTGAACAGCTGTTTGCCCTGGTCTAGGAAGAGCCTCTGTTAACTGGCTGTAAAAGAAAAGTTTTTGTTAACTCTTGTCCTTAATAAACAATAGGTGAATCCTGATGCCGTAGAATTTTGAAATGCTAAAATGAATGACTGTAGGTCAAAGTGAAAGCTGTATCTAAATTCATTGACTGGCATTTTTCATAAGGAAATACACCCTGTTCCATATTTACCTTTTTAGTATCACCCTTGATTCATGGATTTTTTTTTTCCATGTTTTATTACCCATCACTGTAATTATTCCTTGTCATGCTTCAGCACTCGGGCCGCAGGAACCTCTTCAAGCTGGCCCCTGTGTCCCTTTTTCGATGTGCCCCTCTCAGCTTTTGGGTACCACCTTTTTAAAAAAAAAAAAAAGTTTTTATTTGAGCATAGTTGATATACAATGTCACATGAGTTTCAAGTGTATGACATCATGACTCTACAAATTTCTTTGCTACATAATGATTCTACAAGTTTCTGTGTTATGTTGTTGAACACCTCCTTTCTCTCGTGGTAAGCTGTTTCTTACACTTTCCCTGACCCAGCCAGGGATTTCCCCCATTGAGCTCTGGTCATTTTTTGGGACTTGTTAAAAAGACCAGCTAGTTACCACATAGAATGTCCCTCCTTAGATTTGTGTAGATTCTTACGTTTTTGTTATTATTTAGCTTATTTCTCCTAAACAGCATGGATTCTAGGTCATGGGCATGATGACTGATCCCGTTCTGCACTGCAACAGAACTTCTTTATGCCATCTGCTTGACCCACTCTTGGTGATGCTGCAGCTACTTATATATTTCATATGCTGGTACTTGAGGGTGTTAACTTTTCCTTTGTGGGGAACAGAAG